CTTGGCAAGACACTTAACCTCTGGGAACACCAGCCACAGTGGGGCGGCTGCGGCTGGAAAGTGCTAAACTGCCGTTGTGTCCTTAGGCAAAACACTTCACCCCCATTGCCTAGAATGAGTCTGGTGTGTGTGTGTGAATGGTTGGTGGTGGTCGGAGGGGCCGATGGCACAGACTGGTTGCCTCGCTTCTGTCAGTGTGCCCCAGGGCAGCTGTGGTAAAGCGTCTTTGAGTGTCCAAAAAAGCGCTATATAAAACCGATGTTTTTTTTTGTTTTTGTTTTTTGCTATGGTTTAGTAATACATCAAATGCATTGCCATGTGAAATGCGAGTGTTATACAGTAGGTGGCTCTATGAAGGGGTTGATGTCACATACAAAAATGTACATAACGTGTGATTTTATTTGTGTACATTGGTTCTGAATTAAATTATGGAAGCTTGAAGAAAAAACATCCTGCTACACATTGTACTCTGTTGTTATGAAATTGCAAATTCGAATAAAAATTGAGGCTGTATTTCTTCAAATGGGGGAAAATGGCATTTTAGCTCGACAAAAGACAGAACGAGATTGGACGTTAATCCGTATGCATCGCTGACGAGTCATTTTTCGCTGCTTTGTATCTCTGTGGGTCGTGTGTGTGGGCCCATCTCACTTAATTTTGAACTTTTGTGTGAGAAAAGACATGAATCAAGCCTATATCACTCACATACTGGCTTTTCTACATTTTTCACCTCAAATAGGACCATAATGTTGATGGCTGCGAGTCTGAAAAATGCAATCATGACACCTACCACCAATTTGAAATAACCTCAAATCCATACATTACATTTGTCATGCACATCAACAAAGTCTTCATCAATTTAAGCCTGTGAAATCCTACATACATTTTGCCCATCCTTGTCTGTGTTTTTTGTGTGTAACAGCCATGCAAAAACCTCTTTGTCCTGAATGCTTGAGCAATACACCATTGGAAAGATTGCAAAGAACATAGTTTGTGATTTTAATGTAAGGATAGCACTGTTAAATTTCCTTTTGAATGTAACATTTATTACAAAAGGTGACAAAACTGACATTAAACAAATTGATTGCAAAACTATGTGAAATGTGCATGCTCTGAGCAAGGCCATATTTAATCCTTTTTTACTATTCTTGCATATGTATTTTGTGTGTGTATATATATATATATATAAATATGTGTATATATGTATGTACATGTATATTTACTGTATATATAAAGTATAATATGTTGCTGCAATATTCTGAAATTCTGCAATAAGTGCAACACAAGTTTTCTTCAAAAATATGAAACTTAATGTAAAAGTTTCAACACATTATGTCATAATAAACAGTATTCTATCACTCACTGAGTCACTTGGACCTCATATGGGTTCACAATTTTAATGGCTGCAAATCTGGAAATTGTGCTGCCTTGAACTCTGCAACCAATTTAGAATAACCTCAAATCCATACATAATATTTGTCATGCACATAAGTCACTATCAACTTTAAAACGACTGGATCTACACTCCCACATTTTCTTCACCACACTATTTTTCTAAACTTACGCAACGTTCTTGCTTAAAAGACTTGCCAAAGTTTTTTATTCTTGGCATAATAAAAACCCTTGGAAGAGCAGCCCTGGATTAAAGTCTATTAAAACCACTTTTGAAACTCTCGCTTACAAAAACATGCTTTCTGGTTATGCGCATGCCATTTTGGTTTTGTGTACATTACCAGTATGCTCTCTATGCTTTTCTCTGTCTAATGCGTGTTGTTGGGCCATTTCTCCCCAGTACATTTTGGCTTTAGAAAGAAAGAAGGAACATTATTTTGCAGATGAAAGTTTGCTGGAGGTGACTGGCAGTGCGTAGCAAACTGGGTGAAGAGCGGTAACCTTTTCAACGTGCTTTCCACACTGAATGAAGTAAAGTTGACCTAAAACCACTCTGGCTGACGCGCTTATACTTTCACTTTTCTGGTGTTCTTTGACATTGGGGTCTTGGATTACTTTTAACAACATGTAGGCACATAGAAGGATATCGAGCTACCCGTTTTACCTGTTGACGGTTGTAAAGGTCCTTGGAGTGTACACCTTGTGTATTATCCCACTCCAAATTATACATTCATGATATAAAAGGTAATTGCTATGACCTTGGCTAATACTCAAGTTTGATTTATGGACCTTCCTTCCATTGTCCCCTAGATTTCCAACTCTAAGTTGCGCTTCCACCGCAGGAACTGCTGGTAAAAGGAGGGGTGTGGGACATCTACAGGAACCGTCCTCTCACTCGGCCCTCTCAGGGCTTGGTCACATAGGTTTTCACAAACGAACGAGGCCAAGTGGCCCGGATCGTCGCCACAGGGGTGTGAAGATGGCCCGCGATCAGAGGAGTTTATTGTTTCAACCGTGCCAGCCCAAATACGGGTGGAGTACAATGCTCGGCCCAGCTGATTGCACTAATACTAACTTCAGCGACTACCTCGTTGTCCGGAGGAGGCACTCTGTTGGGTCCCTTAAAAGTTTCTGTGAATGGCCCTGTGGGGGAGGATCCTGTAGTGGGGACACGCACCAAGTTCATTATCAAATCATGATTATCCACCATAAGCACATCATCATGTATTGTGAAATGTTGTTGTAGTATCTTCTTTAAAGCTGGAGTACCTGACAAAAAAGTCTTCCCACTGGGTTTAGAGTTTTTCCTTCCCGATGCAGGAGGATCTGTTAACGTCTTGTGAGGTCTATACTAAAAGGACAGTGGTAATGATCCAGGACACTCAACATTCAACAACATGTATGGACATTTATCAAACTTAGGGACATTGGTCATCTGCCCCTTCTGGATCAATACAATAGGTTTTCTGTTTTATTTCTTGAGTTTGAACTGTCCGTGTTGCGATTTTGGCGGTTTTGTAAGTCCTCAGAGATACTTACTGTTGTGATATAGGGCTATGCAACAATAAATGTAATGTAATTGAAAAGTAAAATGTCGTTGGACCGCAACATGGTGTCTTCATGTCTTTAAAAACATTTTACATTTTCATACTTCCCCTGTGACGTTGATTGGCCGAGTTAGGTTGGCCCTCTCTTTTTCATCTCTGTTTTGACAATGCTGATTTAAATATGATGTGACAGAGGCCAAAAAACATGCATGTGAAAACTAGTGATAGAACCAAACTGTTTAGAGCCAGGAACTAGTTACATGAATTTAAATGTGTGGTTACTTTTTTGTGGTGTAATGTTACTCAAGTCTTTGTCTACCAATATGGACAATATTCATGATGATGTTTCCAGTGGATAGGGCATTGGTGCTGTACTTTTCAAAATGTGTTTTCAAATCATGACTTGATGTGTACAGCTGCAGTAATACAGTAATTCCTCTGTAATGAACGATTTGCTGAAATGTGTTGGTGATTGTGAGCCATGCAGGTCTGCCATCAAAAACAGAGGATATTGAGGAATGCACGAGTTCCGCCAATCTTCGCCTTTTGGGATTATCCCTTTCTCTGTTTCGTGTTTATTTTTGTCCTGTCAACCTTCTTTCCTGCACGTCCAGATGTCTCTCAAACTTGTCCTTTAGAGTTGGCCTTCCTCTGACGTTATTAGATTAACATTCCAGCTCGGTCTTGGTCACAGTCGTGGATATATGTGACTGCACATTCTTTCACGTTTGTGCAGTTTCTCCCTTGTATCAAGTGCAGTGAGTGGAGCGGGACAAAGAGGTGCAGGAGGGAGCAGGGCTGCGTGTGTAAAAATGTGCACAGTCTGGGGTGCCTTCGCTTCAATGGCTCCAACTTTTGTTTTGTGCAAGCCCCCACTTTTCTTTCTCCTTCTCTCTGCCTGTCTGTCTCTTTCTATATGCCAACAAAAGGGGAGGGGTGGTGGGCTGACAGGCAGTCGCAGCTGGAGTGCAAAGAGAACTAGTCCCACCCCAAAGATGCCAGCAATGGGGTGAGAGACTTGGAGAAAGAGAGAGAAACTGCTCTTCATGCTTCTGCTGCCTGTCTGGGAACTGCTCTCCTCCTCCCCACTGCCTCTGGCTATTTTATTCTTGTTATGGAACTTTTTGTTGTTGTTTACTTGAGTGGAGAGTGCAGAAAGTTCATCTCGCTATAGAGTGCCTCTTGCAGACTTTCATGGATGAAGACAACCGGCAGCGTTTCCAATGTTTATCCTCTTTATATGCAACCAAGCTCATTCGTTCAGCTGTGTCAAAACAGCATAAATGTGTTAGAATGAAAGAGGATGTGCACAATTTTCCATAGTAAAAGCACTACACAGGGTTATTCTATCAAATTGGAGGGTAGGCTTAAACGCCTTTTTTGTTGATTTTATGCACTGAACCTATGTGTATTTTTTCTTTCTCTCTTTTTGGAAAATATAAAAATACAATTGTTATGTAGCACTTCAAATCCCCTTGTCTTTTAGTCAAAATGATTACTGGTGTTTCATAGCTGCATTTCTTATGTGTTGTAGTTGGGTTTTCTAATCTGCTGTTGGTGAATCAACAATTCTGTGACGCGCTCTGAGGGGACCGCTTTTGGGATTTAGGGCTGTATAAGAATATGCTTGAATTTATTAAAAAACACAAACAACGCTAAAAGATACATATTTATTCCTGAACTAGAGAAAACAAACATACATTTCACCCCAATTACTCCTCATTAGTATTCATGTTTGTATCCACTGGAAGCGTAATCTCAGCCCGAAGTTCCTCCATCCTGCTTTTATTTTGAAAGCAGCGCTTCCGGTAGTCTCGCGTTAGTTCGTTCGCCTTGACTTGGCTGCTGGAGGATGGCTGTGTCTGTCTGAGCCGCTGTCTCTGGTCTCTTCGCGTACAGAGGAGAAACTCAGCGTCTAAACACAAGAACAACGCGTGGAGTCGAGCGGAGGAGAGGAGGGAAACTGAAACTTTCTCCAAACGTGGAATTAGTGGCAAAGAACTCGTTTTTCCCCGCGAGGAAATTCACTATTTTTACGGGAGCGCGGGGGACTTTACTATCATGCCAGCTGAAGTCAAACAGGTCAGTGCTGTTCCATCCTCATTACTCGTACCGACTTTGACAATTATGTATTTTTTGACAACAATGCAGCTTGTATAGGGTTCCCACGTGTTGTTTAGACTCTTTCTGCTTGTTTATCCAGTTGATTTTGAGACCTCTCGTGCGTAATCTCCAAGATGCCAGGACGCGCGGAATTTGTATCCACTCGTATCCACGTCGCCTTCGCGTGTCTGCTGTTTTTACGAGACTTTTGGACATCAGATACACCTATGGACTATGATCCTACCCAGAAACCCTTTCATGCTTTAAATAGTAGCGTATGGGGGGGATATGTTTAGTGGCGGTATGCGTTGGTTTGCGATGGGATTCTATTGCAGTAACGCGCAGCGAGTAATGGTCTCTCTGACACATTTAGGAGCTCCGATGTGTCAGTGCCTCTATAGGATAACTGCGACGCGATTATGGGACTAGCCTCGGAGTAGTATGGAAAGTTTGTCCCTGATCATCACTTGGAAATGCTATGAATGGGAACCGGCGTAGGATTTATAAGCTCGGGGGGATGTTGTGCCAATTGTTGGATAGACATGCCATTAAAACGCTTTTGTCTTTCACTCGCGTAGATACCACTGGAATGCGCTGTGTGCGTGCCTACGTGCGTGTGTCTGTGTCTCTGTGTCTGTGTATAGTGTCTCTACCGGGCCATGGTGTGCATACATTACTGGATGCTTTCCCTGCTTTTGAAGCGCATCCACGGGAACCTACACCGTCGCTTTTGCTATTTTCTCTCTTGGCAATGGCAGCGCAGTCTAATATGTAAAAATAAAGGAAAGTCAGATTTTGAAACGACGAGGAAAAAGGATTGAGACTCGTTGAATAAGCTCGTACCAAGGCTATTGTCGACTTTAGAGTGACCGCAGATCCCTGTCTGGCAGATAGGCGCATTCTGTCAGCTCGTCACATCGCGCTGATAATAATACATTAGCAGTTGCCCTTGTGGACTGGTGCCATGAGATAACTGGAAGAGCCTTTTCCATAAAGAGAGGCTTTAATCTTTTGCAATTAAACCTGATATCTCAACTCCCAAGTGAGAGCTGATGGATGAAACGCACGAGTCGTCGCGCACAAAGTTTCAGATGGATTAAAGGGATGGACTCAAACACATGTCAACAACCTGGGAGTATGCACACTCCTAAAATGGGCCCAGGAGGTGTGGGATGGCCCGTGCTCGTCCGTGACCCCGAGGCACAGGGATGGTTGGCATATTTCAAAGCAGAGCAGCGAATGTGTGACCTCTTCAACTCTGCTGGACATTCCTTCAAAGGAAGCACCTGCCAATGTCCAGTGGCGGGAGGGTAGTAGTTGGCATCGTTGTTTGGCAGCTACAAGAATACATTCATATTGTGTGTTCATGTCACGGCTGGTAGTTCACATTTGGTTTTGTGTGGACTTCAGTTGTGTTATTTGTATTGTATTGATGTTGTTCCACATTTAGTATTGATCAGAGCAAATATGACTCACTTTTTTGGATACAAATGCACATTCAACAGCATAATAGAAAAAGTCGACATATTTTCAAACCACAACAAATGAAACAATGCTCAATCAGTAGTTTTCACATCTGTCAAATTTTTAGATCTGCCTTTTCAGTGAGAAAAGGGAAAAAGAGAGGACCACCCTTACCCAATAAATCATCTCTCTGCTCAAAGCGTCAAATAGTGACTCACAGGGCACTTTCTCACAAGCAGTCAAAAGGAAACATGTTTTCTAACAAGATGAAGACCGCATGGGGCGCCCTAATTTGTCAAACAATATGGTTTATTCATGAAAAGAGTGAAGTGAGGTGCCCCAGCTTTAAAGCTACATTTCTTTAAAAGTAAAGCTATTACAACTACATCATACACATTAAAACCTTAGAATAGTAGAGTCTTGATTTTTACATTTGTCCTACTTTCAAAGTGTGCAGATTGTAGAACATTTGAACAAAGACTGAAATATGAACTGGTTCCATTGTATTTCAGAACAGTGTTTATCTACAAAACAGGTGCAGTTAAATGTCTCTAAGGAGAAGTTAATCCGTGCATCTTAAAAATAATAGAAGCCTTTGCAATTTGAAAATCCTATGCCTTGAAGATATTGTGAAATCTTTCCAAACATCAATGGATTTCCCACATGTTTTGCTGCCATTTAGCATTTACTGAGACCTACTATATTCAATCTTCAGTAATCTAAGCATATGTAGGTAAGTTTTGGGTGAGTAATAAACTTTGTGATTGTGTAGATGCTGATTCCCTCTGACCTCATCTCGTTTCTGCAACAGAGCTTACAGTAAATGACTTGGCCAACTGAAGATTACGGCACAGCCCTCAATTAGTGGGCAGGCTTGCACTAGTCGGCGTCCGAGCTAAAAATAAAACAGCGTTTAATTCTTGATCATATATCACACTAAATCCGATAAAACCTTGTGATGTCGTTTTTTGCTGTTCTAGTCGATTTATCGGATCTTAGTAGACCAACACTTTGAATTTTGATGCAAGAATTTCAATTGGAAAGCAGCAGAAATGAGAGCAAATGCATTAAATAATCAAGCATTTATATTGTCTTACAGAATGAAATATATTACACTAAAAATTACACTAAAAGCTTTTACAAAGGTTGGGAACCACTCCTTTAGTCAACCAATCATTTCTATGGTCGACCTCAGCGCTAATAAAATGGTAGCCAAAGCATCCCATCTCCTCCCCCTGTGAAAATACAGAAGAGGTTTGTCTTGAAGGAGCAAAGAAAACATTATAAATAATCCAGTAGCCATCTCACCAAGGTCTGTCAAAGGAACTGACTTTACGCTTGCTTTTTCTCTGCAGCTAGAAGAACGACCCATCTGAATAACAAAATCATTCATCAGTGATTCAGCCAAAGAGCAAAGCAGGTCTTGACTCGAGGCCTCGGCTGCCAAACCCCTGACAGCCAGCATAGCTTCAACTTGACTGAGCATTCGCTGCTTTTCCCAGATGCCGTTTGATATCGTGCAAAAATTAGGCTCCTGTCAAGTTCCTCATAATCTCTCATTGCCGTTCATACAGCGCTAAAGCTTGAAGGTCTTGACGTTTCTTCAAATGTTCTCCATCGCTCGTTACCCAGGGCTTGTCTTTTGTGGCTAAGGCAGACGATGTTGCGAAGATCAATATTTGAAGACATATAGAGCATGACGAGTGGGGCATTGTGTGTTGAAAAAGGGGAGGTCATGATAGAAGAAATGGCAGTGACCGGAAACATAAGTGGTCAATAGGGCTTGGAGTGTCTTGAACAGCAAAGGGTGCGTCGAGTAGGGGGCAGGGAGGAGGGGGATGGCAGTCTGGAAGGGGGAGATGGAGTTTTGTTTTGAAAGTAGAGATTAACCGATATGGGTTTTTTGAGGTCGATGCAGCTGTTTTAAAAGTTTGAATTGCTTATGGTGATTTCCTTGGCTTTTTTTTTTAAGGGTGGAAATAAACATGGGGCAGGGGCTTTTACGCTAGATATTTTTCAATGTTATTTCATAATTCCTTATGGCAGGGGTCTACATCCTTTTTCGATTGCTACTTTTACAAAAGGTAAATGACTGAGAGCTACTCTTTTTTTAGTGTACATAATCAAAACATGTATAGTTAATGATAGAGCTATGCAATGGCTCAAAAATGAATAAATCAGCATCACATGTATATCATTTTTTTATCCTTAGGTTAGCTACATGAAAGGGAGTGGTGAGCTATTGGTAGCTCCCAAGCTACAGGTTGAAGAATAGGCACCAGACAGAGAAGATGGTACACCCTAGAGCTCCTGCCACGCCGCCATTTTTCATCAACAATTTTACAGATATTTATTTTTTGTTTTAATCATTACTAATTATGTATGGGGATCACTGTTTAGAGTAAAATAAATGATATGATTGTTTTCCTGAAAAATCTAACTTCAAATGGGGTCGTAGGGGAAGAGGAATGTAACATAAAAAAACCAAGATGTACAATGGTAAATCAAATGGCCTTTAATAAAACAGGCAAAAGAGGGTAACAGTTTGTACTGGACCACTTCAGAGTCAAATAAAAAACACACGCTTCGGAATTCAACTTAATCAAAACACAAACACAGAGCCACACAGGCAATCTTAACTACTAACTTTAGCGCACACAGAAACACGTTCTCAGACTGGTGGCAGACAAGACTCAAGCTGCCCCGCACAGAAGGAGCAGGCTGGTTTTCATGACTGGTGCTGATTAGCTGCAGCGACGGATTGGCCAGACGTGGAGAGCGCGACCCAATCTCAAAATTGAGGGAGGGAGCGGCCGTAACATATGGGAAGAAGTTGGAGCTGATATTTCCAAAACAATATTGGTCAACCTGTACTTGAAAGCGGTCCGATCGTATCCTGATGCTGACGTAGCAGAGGTTCTAAGTCCCCATATTGGACATCCATACCCTCCATAATGTTGTACAGGGGGGCTAACATCACATGACCAAGCACATAGCTGATTGGCATGTTACACTATACACCAGACTGCTAACCACCCAGCATCTCCAATCACTTAGTGGCCATTTTTGGTGTGGAGTAACTTGAACTGACTGATCATATGGACAGCTACTACATTATATCTCTGTTTGAAAGTATACCGCAGCATTACCATGTCATGTCACACTTATTTTGATTTATTCTACAACATTCCTTGGATGAAATATTAGCATAGTACATTTCCACTGCTATTGCCTATTATAAAGAAAAAGCACTCAAACTGTCATTCAATTGTGTTATTTCTATACAGAATGATCTCAACACATTGAATAAAAAAACAGGGAAAAATAAGAATGGCGCCTAAAAAGCCATTCTTTTTATATTTCAAAAATATTGATACTAGAAGAAAACTATCAATTATAAGAAAAAAAGAGCAATTATTTTTTAAATGCTATTTATTTATAAAGTTCTTGATCCACACGGAAAAAACCTCATTAGCTCAAACTAAAATGAAATTAAAATGTATTTGAATTAAGTT